AAAACAAGCTTCTGCTCTCAGGTCATGTAATTTTCTAATCCAATCTGCCAAGCAACTCAGAAAGCCTACCTACCGTCCAGGAACCAAACAGCCATCACCCTTCTGTAAGCACATCTTGAAAATCACTTTGGCAGAGGAGGCCTCCCCTCAGCCAGGGTCAGCTTTTCAAGATCAGGAGACAGGAAAATGACCATTCAGTTGCTGCCAAACAAAACTGTGCTAAGCTCACCTCAAACCAACAGACGCGCCTACCAGAAGAATACGCAAACCTTACTAGTCAGGTCAAGATGGGGGAGGGAAGCATGTGTGTCTCAGATGGCAAGTACTCTTCTGCTAGTAGGTAAGTAGGTAAATAGGGAGGGGTATACCCTCCCAGCGGGTGGGGGGGGGCGACACACGACAAAAACCTTTCATACTAATATGGAACCCAAGGGGAGAATACACCTGGTACTAAGTCTCTAATTAGATACATTTGACCTAGCTTCTAATCAGTCCTTGGTGATCCAGGCAGACCATGTACTGCAGATGCGTGGGTCTTTAGACTCTTGTGTTGAGGAGCACAATATCCTTTATAGGCCACACCAGAAAGACTAGCTGTGGAAACCCTACAATGTGAACTGGGCTCTACCTCAAATTCACTTGTAGCCCCTGGACTTATGGCTTAAACTATGGCGTGTGAGAAAAAGCAGACAACTGCTATCCCAAGAATATTGAACTTGTTCCGATAGCTTGCCTTGAGGGTGCCCAATAAATGTTAGTCCAGGACTATCATATACTTATTATTTTAAGGTCCTTCTTGCTTTATTATGATTTATATTAATCTGAAAGGCATGGTTCTGCTACAGTCAATGCATATTATTGAAAGCTACTTTATTACCAACCCCTACTGTTTGTGTAAATAGTGTCTAGTCAGTTAAGAGTTTAATTAGCAGAAGTCAAGAATTCATGTATTGAGGTTCAGCAACCTATACTTGTATAATGGGCTTTCTCAACTGTGTTTTAAATTCTGTACGACTGGCTAAATTAATGACACTATCAACAGAAATACCTTACGTCCCAGGAAAATGATGAATAATGTTCTCTATCATAAACTGAAATGGTGTCTCTAAGGTGAACCAGAGACATACATAAACCATAGAAATATGAATGTATTTTGGGTTTGCACTTAATTCTAGCCCCACTTTAGGAACAATTCGGTTTTTAACATGTCTGACTTGATGCTCGCCCTCATTTAGAGATCACTGAAGATATGGGTGCTATAGCAATGCATGGCGAAGAAACTAGATGGTGCCCAGCTACCAGAAAGAAGTGTCTGAGTTCTTAAAAGTTTGTCTTTAAACAAGCAGCCATCTAAGTGAGGCATCAATTAAGTCTACATGGAAGGCGTAAAGCAGTCTGCATGATCCAACGTATTATATATAATATAATCCAAATCCAAAGGAGGGAATGGTATCAGAGATTTAATCATGAGCACCTGGTTTACAGAAGGGTATAGATGACAGTGGAAGCCCAAAATTCATTTGCAAGGTCCACACAGAGATTCAACCTCCAGTGAATCCCCTCTGACCATAGGTGAATAACTTTATCAGACTGAGAGCAATGCAAAGTTGATTACGGTAGATAAATGTAATATACGATCTCCATTTTGACCCATTTTAAAGTTGTTTCAGTTAAAAAAAAGGGGGGGGGCACACTCCCATGAGTCCCCTGTGATCAGAGAGGGGATTGAGCCTTGTTATCATGCAGAGTGCTTTTGAAAGTGGATTATGGCAGATGTAGTTAGGCTAAATTGTTTTGTACAGCTTTATTAGCACTTTGTCCACATGTCATACAATTCAAAAAGAATTCAATCATATCAAGAAGAGTTGTATAATTATCACCACATCCAATTCTAGAATATTTTCTTTTTTTTGGTATTCATTGTTATTCATGTAATCATTTTTTTCTAATTGTGGTATAAATATACACAACAAAATATTCTCCAATTCTACAACTTCTACATGTATAATTCAGTGCCACTGACTATACTCTTTGTGTTGTACAACCATAATGATGTCCTTTTCCAAATTATTCTACCACCGTTAACATAAACTGAATGTCCCCTAAGTTAAGTTAAAACTTAATACTTTATCATTTAAACTCCCCCTTGACCTAGGGTATTTTAAAGTTGTTCCTGTTTTGAATATTTTACACTTTCTTTTCCATTGAAATTTTTGTTTCATTTTATTATTGTTGTTAGGGTTTTTGTGGTTGTTTTGCATGTTTTTCTGTATATGAAATCCAGGATAGGTAAATCTATAGAAATAGTAACTGGATTAATGGTTTCTTGGGGGTATGGAGAGGAGGTTGGGAGGAAATGGGGAGCTAAGAACAATGAGTACAAGAAAGAAGAAAATGCTCTAAAATTGTGCTAATGATTGTACAACTCTTCTTGATATGATTAAACTACTGAATTATAGGGTATGTGGGTTATGTGCCAATAACACATTAAAAAAAAGACTGGTAAGAGTTTACAATGCTTGAACATCTATGACATATACGCTACATAACCAAGGTGTTTTTATGGAAATAAAATAACTTGCACATCAAGGTTTTTGCTTCATCACCATGCCCCCAAGGTATCTTCATAAACGCATGTTAATTTTTTCATAGCAACATGTAAAAATTATCATAGCACGTTTACAAAAATATCTTGGAAAAAAGGACACAGTTGAGGGAAAAACTATTTTGGATTTGTTATCTGCATAAAAATACAGTAAAGACACTTCAGAAATGTTAATAGTCGTATATAAATTTATGTGATACTTTTACAGTTTATCAAGCACTTTTACAGATATTACCTGATTTTGATCTTCACAAGAACCTGTTTATGCAGAACCTCATATGAAAAACAGAATCTGAGATTTAGTTCTAGGTTTTGAAACCCTGATTTATGACTGTCAAGTTTCACCTTGATACTGCTTCATACTGCTTCTCATAGGCCTTTTGGAGTTACAATCCACTCCGTATTATTTCTTAAAATAGTAACAGCAGGTAATATTTACTCAGCATTGTGCAAAGTTGTACATGCTTGGGGGGGGGAGGGTGTCAGATGCTTACAGACATCCTCCCTGAAGGCAGTTAGTAGCCAGACTACACAGTAGGCCCTGCTCCCTGCTGCTGGGGACAATGGACTATTTCTTCCTGAGCTTGAGACTATTAGCTTGGTTCCTGGTTCCTGTAGGTGGAGTTCACACCCGACCAATAATGGTCTCTTTCAGTTGAGCCAGGAAACAGGTCAAACCGGCTCTGTGACATCCAAAGTTAGGCTGTCATCCTAATTCCAGGATCCGCCGCCCATCTTGCCTCATGTATACCTCCAATCCCTCCTCTTCCTATTGCATGGATACCCCTAGATCAGCCCTTCCCATTACTGTATTACCTATAGCACAACCCCTTCCTATGACGTATGTCTTCACCTGTAATTAGGGGGCTTGCATGTGCCCAAAGAATATAAAAGCCTTGGTTAGCATTAAAGATGCTCTCTCTCTCTCTCTCCACGTGGACCACCAAGCGGGGCTGAGGTGAGCATGCTACCATGATATGCGTCTGACTCCATTATTTCAATATCTCTCTCTTTTATCTCTCATGCTCTCTATGACTTTACTATAATCTTTACTTATTATCTATCGCTGTACAATTGCGCCTACCGGACCCCTAATGATGTGCTAGGGGCTGGCTTCTCGTTAAAAAATGCCTGTTAACAAGTTTTGCCAACCACCCACCACTTTATTTCCCTAAGAATGATGCGTCAACTTTCCTTTACATTATATTGACTTCAACTAGTAACCTCAGTTATTTTACTTAATGTAGTCTCTGGAATTTTTATAACCTGCTCAAAGACTAACAGGTTAGAGGTGAATGTCACCTTGGGGCCAAATAATTAGTCAACAAAGACATCCTGAGACTGGTCTGAGACTTAAAGAACCTTATTGCTCTGTTTACTTGCTCAAGGTCAACAGCTGTTTTTCTTGGTTACCATGAAACCTGAGTTAATATCAAACATGGATATGTGACTCCCCCCAAAGCATAAAATCCAAAGTAAAAGATATATATTCTTTATGTATTCTGATTTCAAACAGAACACCACCAAGACAGGTTGTCACGCTGTTGGTCCCCTCACTGGTACCTTCTAAATAAACATCTCTTTCTTCCTCTAATTTGGAGCAAGTAAACTGGTTGCTGTGCTTCAGGGTAAAATACCTACATTTCACATAACACTAAGAAGAAATAATTAAACTATGAAATTAGCAGATCTAACATAAACTAATGGTTTCACGTAAAATAACATGATTAGAGTTCCATATCCACGTGTTGAACTGATAATGCTCAATAAGGCTATTGCCTTTAATAGAAACAAATACAGTTTCGATGATTTAATTTCCAATTACCAGGATCTACAAACTCAATTTTTTGAGCTCTTGATCATAGTTTATTCCTTAATTAATTACAATTATGATCAAAATAAACATATCCAGACTATCTTCATACACATAAGCAGGAGATTAAAGACAATTAATAGAATTATATGATTTATCTTAAATATGAGAGGCTGGGTTAATGAAGCTGAAATTCACTTCTGGAAATTTCTTGAGATGTATACAGTATATGCATGAGTGTGCTATGTCAGAAACTACTTAATTTCATCACTTCTGCACATGACACAAATGGGTATATTATTTGCATGGCCAGGTTTTTTGCCACGGGGTGGGAAATAATGGCAGAACCAGGATTAACGATCAGATAACGGAACTCTGCAAGCCTATACTATTAACCACTTCCTAAGACTGCTTCTCAAAAGTTCTAAGTATAATGTTATTGTCACAGATATTCCAGATTGAAAGTCAACAGTATTGAAAATATGTGGTAAAAATTCTTATTTGGTTAGTACAATCCTAAAATAAAAAGCTTGATATCAATCTGAAGGTAAAAAGCAAAATCTTTGCCATTAGTAAGAGCAACAAGCAAACAGCACAGTCCGTTATTACCTTTGAGAACTTGTGCCTTTTTCATGGCTATCATGTGTTGAGGAAATTTCATCCAGTGGCTCTGGAAGGGGATGATGATTAAGACCATGTTTTGTTAGTCCTTTCCTGTGAAAGATAAAAGTTACATTTCTGTAAAGAAAAAATACATACTAGTCAGTAATTTGAGAAAATCCTGGTTGACATAGTGGGTTATGAGTTGGGCTGCTAATCTCAAGGTCAGCAGTTCAAAACCACCAGGTGGCTTAAGGGAGAAAGAGGACACTTTCTATTTCCATAAAGAGTTATTCTCAGAAACCCATAGGGGGAGTCCTACCCTACCCTATCAGGTTGATATGAGTCAAGATTGACTATTTATGGCATTGAGCTTGGTTTTTATTTGTTTGGGGGTGGGGGGTTTCTTTTCAGTAATTTGAACTATAAGTCAGTCACCTACTTCTTGCTGCTTTGGAACTACACTGTAGTAGCTGTACCCTGCACAGGTATACTTTACAATATAGCAGCCATCAGCTACTAGCATTTAAAATGGGGTTTGTCAGAATTCAGCTGTAACTTTACATGTAAAACATACTGGCTTCTAAAATCTTAGTATGAAAAGAAGAAAGTATATCTTATTAATTTTCTCTCTACTTGGTCAGTTCTTGAACCCACCGTTGCACCATAAAGCTATCCCCTCTGTTTGGAATGGCTACAAATAAGGATCTTGACCAAACAGCCGTCTTCCAAATTTCCTGGCACAGAAGAATGAGTGCTTCACAGCATTGTTGAAACATTTCAATTGGTATTTGTGTTAGTCTGGGTAGACTAGAGAAACAAATCCATGCATACATATATGTATATAAGGAAGAGGTTTATATTCAAGAACAATTACACATCAAGAAAACATCACAGCCAGATCAAGTCCATTAGTCCGATATTAGCCCATATTTCCGATATCAATCTATAAAGTCCTCCAGTGGGTAGAAATTCTTTGGATTCCGTGGCGTTGTAAGCATCTCAGTGCTGGCAGGGGTCTCTCTGTGGCTTCTCCAGCTTCCGAGGTCTGGTTGAGTCCATGTGGCTTGTCTTCTGCAGTGTCTTCCAGGGAGTAGCAGAGAGAGAGATGTCTTCTGCCTCCAAGGAGGAAGCACCTGATTTCCCAGAATTCTCAGAAGGCCATGCCCACAGAAGTCTCATTGGCTATCTCCAGATTGACAACCTAGACTCCACCCCTACACTCTTAATCCTTCACCTGACACCAGATTAGGTGACTACCACAGCATTCCATCAATTCCTGGGCCTTTGTTTTTGGTTAATGCCTTCAATGCAGTTTAGCTTTTTTCCTTCGGTTCCATCAATTCTTGATCATATGCTACCTCGTGAAATGATGGAATGTTGACTTGTTCTTTTTGGTACAGTGACTGTGTATTCTTTCCATCTTTTTTTGATGCTTCCTACATCATTCACTATTTTGCCCATAGAATCTTTCAATATTGCAACCCAAGGCTCTTTTTTTTTCAGTTCTTTCAGTTTAAAATATGATGTATATGTTCTTCCTTTTTGGTTTTCTAATCCTAGGTCTTTGCATATTTCATTTTAATACTTGACTTTGTCTTTTGAAGCTGCCCATTACATTTTTCTGTTCAACTCTTTTACTTCACCATTTCTGCCATTAGCCTTAGTTATTCGATGATCAAGACCAAGTTTCAGAGTCTCTTCGGACATCTATTTTGATCTTTTCTTTCTTGTCTTTTTAATGACCCTTTGCTTTCTTCATGACGTTCTTGATGTCCTCCCACAGCACATCAGGTCTTGTCACTGTGTTCAATGCATCAAATCTCTTCTTGGGATGGGACCAGGATTCAAACCCAAGGGTATCTTGAAGCAAATTAACTTTTGAGTTTTTAGCGAATTAAACTATTTTTATATATAAATAAAAATTGAAGGGCCCAGTTAGAGAAGCTTGTGCTTTAAACGATTTGTCTAACATGGGAATAGGTTTGTGCAGCATTACACACTTCTCTCATTCATAGTCCTACAATCAAAAATTTTTCTGATAGTGTTAGGGTTCAGAAACAGACTCCAGTGATGAAAGTGACTTAAGACATTGTGTAGACTGCTACGGAAACATTATAAAGTGAGAATTAGATAACACATGGAAGTATTATTAAAAGTGATCATAGAGTTCATGTTTACATTAAATCCATGTTTAGTGATACATTCTAAAGTACATAGCAGTAAAATGATAATGCCTGGGGTTATGCTTTCTTTATTTCATATGAAGCACAGAGTAGGAATGCAAAAAGTAAATAAAGAAGATAGATGATGTATATATGTTAACATTTTGAGAAATATTAAATAGGGATAATGGGTACAGAGGGTTCAGTGTACTATTCTATATATATCTGGGAAGTACAGTGAGAATGTTCTTTAGAAACAACGATAGTGAGACTTCATCTCATGTACTTTGGACACGTTATCAGGAAAGACCAGTCCCTAGAAATTAACATCATGCTTGTTAAAGTAGAGGGACAGTGAAAATGAGGAAGACCCTCAACAAGATGCCACAGTGCCTGCACCAATGGGCTCAAACATAAGAAAACTTGTGAGGTTAGCACAGGCGTGAGCAACGCTTTTCTGTGGTACTTAGGGTTCTCTATGAGTTGGCACTGACTCAATGGCACCTAACAACTTCACAATCATGTTTGAAAGTTTTCATTGAAAAATATTAAGCCCAGGGGGGAGCGGGGAGGGAGGGGGAAAATAAGGAGCTGATGCCAGGGGCTTAAGTGGAGAGTAAATGTTTTGAGAATGATGAGGGCAATGAATGTACAATGAATGTTTTACACAACTGTTGTGTGTATGGATTGTAGTAAGAGTTGTAGGAGCCCCCAATAAAATGATTTTTTTAAAAAAATTATGCTATCATATATTAAAAATCATTTTCCAAACTTATTTTAACACCTAAAATCTAGAAATACTATTGAAACACTAAAGTGAGTGCCACAAAACAGATGCTAAGATCTGAAATAGCAATGACTTTTCCTTTATTCTCATGTAGATGCATTTTTGTCGTCATTATCTGTATCATTCTGACTTGTCTAGAAAGGTATCTTTTGAAGGAGTTGATCTGGGGGGTCACCACATCAAAAATAGAGAACAAGAAACAGAAGTATGCTAGGTCAATCATTGTGGCTCAATGGGTCCCTAGCATCATGCTTTTTTTCCACTTGAGAATTTATTTTACTCTCAGAATATGAAAGCCCAAACTACAGCCATCAAGCAGAATCTGATTCACAGTAGCCCTATATGGAATTTCCAAGGTTGTAAATCTTTACAGAAGCAGACAGCCTCATCGTTCTCCCGAGGATCAGCGAAGGGTTTGAATCATCAACCTTGTGGTTAGCATCCCAGTGCTTAACCCACAGTGTCACCCAGGCTCTTTACGCCAGAGCAGTCGAGTTAATTATAAGTACAGATTTTTTTTTCAGCTAAGCCTGGTTTATTGGGAAATTATTTACATCCTCTTAATACTTACAACTCATAGGAACTCAAGAGAGCAGAGTACAACTACCTCGTGGGTTTCCCTGATTGTTAATCTTTTCCGGGATAGAAAGCCTCATCTTTCTCTCAAAGAGTGGCTGGTGGTTTCAAACTGTTGACCTTGCTGTTAACAGGCCAACACACAAGCCACTACATCACTAAGGTTCCTGTACTGACTCCATGGCAGTGAACTGAATTCCTACAAGCCTGTTATTCTAATTGCTACAGTATATATATCCAATAATAATAATGTTTCTGAAAGGCAAAGAGGGATCTTGTCGTAGGTTATCTTACAAAGGTAGGGAATTGAGCTGATCATTTACTGAGTTCTATTCCGTGCTATACACTCTGCCATTGGGAACTACACTGTGGCTGCAATAATACACTCAAAGGAACAACTGTGAGGATGGCACGGGACCAGGCCGTGTTCCCTATGGGGTCACTATGGCTTGGAATCGATTCAGTGGCACCTAACCCACCAGAATGCCATGACTTTGTATGGACTTTGCTATGCAGCAGGTATTACTTCTGTGTCACAGAAATGGTGGCTCAGCAATTTAGTAATTTACCTGAGTCACACAGGTAGAAAACAATCTAACCAAAAAGCCAGATGTGACTCAAAGGTATCATGCTTGCGATTACTATATATAGCTAATAACTAATTAATTAATGTCATTTAACTCAGAGAATAAAAAACAAAACCCCTGAATTTAAAGTTAAAAATCCCAAGTTCAAATCCTAACTCTATTGCTTATATAACTAACCTTGATTAATATGGACCTTAGTTAACCAGTACTGCTCTGCTATAACAGAAATACCACAAGTAGATGGCTTTAACAAACAGAAATTTACTTCCTCACAGTTCAGGAGGCCAGAAGTCTAAATTCAGACTGCTCACTCTAGGAGATGGCTTGCTTTCTTGTCCTCTCTGGAAAAAGGTCAGCTTCTCTACTGTATTATTGCACTTTCTCTACGAACTTCTGCTCCCGAGGAATCTTCATGTGGCTTGGCATGTCTTTGCCCCCCATCTCTGCTTGCTAGTTTGAGTTTAGTCTCTTTTATATCACAAAAGAGATTGACTCAAGATATACCCTACACGAATTCTGCCTCATTACCATATGAAGGACAACTCATTTCCAACTGAGATTATAACCACAGGAAGTGAGGTTAAAATTTATAGCACATATTTTGGGGAGACACAATTCAGTCGATTAAAAGATTTTCCATCAAAAAGTTCACAGGAAAATTCCATTATCTTTTCATTTCACTTTTCCACGAACTTTTTGAAGCTCCCTCATATAGGCTGTCTCATAAAATTATGCCTTCTGAAAACATGAAGTTAATCACTCCTGTCTTAAAGAGTTGCAAAGATCAAAATGCTCTTAATCGTGTAAAGCATTAATAAATGTAAGATATAACTATCAGTTGCTAAGTTACAACGCTTCATTAGGAGTGGGTGGCAAATGTTCTCTAAAATACCAAAAAAAATGTTTCAAAAATGCCCAGGGGCTGGGGGAGCAATACATTTAATGCTTATGACTACAGGATTCAGAATCAGATGGATACTTGCTTGTGCCTGGCCCTTGTGACTTGTTTGCTTTAAGTCTGGCTGGCTATCTGTATCTGCGGACGGTGCAAAATAAAATCCCGATATCACATCCTTAGGGGGAGGATTAAGTGAGTAATTAATGCATGTAAACAGTTCAGCGCACTTCCTTCTACAATGTTATGGTAGCACTTGGTGACTGATAGCTTCTCGAGCGGTCACGGGCCCTGGAAGTGAAGCACTGCAGAAACTACAAATGCCTTGGGGGGCCAGTCCCAAGAGGGCCGCATCCTAGTAGCGCACTGGTGACACGCCCGCAAGCGGAGCTTCCAGAAGGGCCAGGGCAGGAATGGGAACGGAGAAAGTTCTCCGTCCCGCCTCAGGAGAGCCACAGAGCGAAGGGCTGGTCCCGGCGTCCGGCAGCCAATTGCTCCTGCCCCGGCGGCGGCTGCGCAGTCTACTCACAGTTCTAAGCTCTGAGGCGCCGCCTTTCGCGTGTATCTGGAGATCATCCTCCGTTTCTTCCTCGGGCGCAGCCCAGGCGTGCACGCCAGGGTGGGGGCCTCCGGGCCTGGCCCTCCAGCCGGCTCCGGCCCGGCCCCCTCCCGCCACCTTCCGGCCCCGTCCCGCCCCGTCTCCTAGACTCCGGGCTGCCGCCTCCTCCAAGACTCCACCATTCCAGTGGCTCGCCCCCTTCCCGTCTTCCTACGGGGCGGAAGTGACGGAGGCACAGAGCGGAAGTGACGGGAGTCCAGGGCGGAAGTGACGTAGCACGGAGCACCGGCCTAAGGCTCCCGCCGGCGCTCAGCAGAGAGCCCAGGGGGTTCCGGCTGCTGGGAGGGTCTCTCTCTTTCTCATAGGGTTTCCCCGAGACCCTAGCCCCAACGCGGGCGGGGGCGCGCGACTGGGTCGACTTTGGCGGCTGGCGACGCTCAAAAAGGCCGC